ACCTGCTCAAGCTCAGAAAGGGTGGGTAGCCTCCTAAAGATAAATTCATAGAATGGCTTGCATCTAATTTCAACCCCCCTGCTGTGGGGGGGGTTGCCAACCACTAGACCAGGCTGCCCAGAACCCCATCCAACCTGGCCTTGAATGCCTTCAGGGATGGGGCATCCACAACCTCTCTGAGAAACCTGCTCCACTGTGTCACCACCCTCTGAGTAAAAAATTCCAGCTTAAAAAAGGTAGAGTGACATCCATGTTGCTCATTGTCAAGATCATTTTGGAAAAGAACAACTAATTAAGGGAGGAAGCATATGAGCATAACATTTCTGGTTTTAGTCTGTGATACCTCCTTTCTCTTCCAGCTCATCCAGCCAAACAGGGAATGGAGCAGCCCACCTTCCCCAGCCACCCTTCTGTAGGCACTACATAACCTGAAAATGGAAAAGAACCATGGGAAAGAGCACAAGACTGATTCCCACATGCTCCCTTGATGAGAAAGCCAAGAAGAAAAGAAGTACAAGAGGGATGCTACTGCTGCACATCATCTTACTTATTATGTAGAGCAGGAATCTGTCTGTCACAGAGGAGGAATTAACTTCTCCACAAAAGCAAACCCAAAAGAAAAGAGTGAAAAAATGTAGTAGATCTGCAGCTTGTGGAGTTTCCATTTGGAATATATTTCTCAGAAGACAGACAAAACAGGATTGAAAAAACCTACCAGCCAGCGAGGAATATTTATCCAGACTCCCTCTCCAAAACTGCTTTATTGATCAACCTCTACAGAGGTCTTCCCCATTGACTTCTACATAGACGCCAAAAAAAATTCTTACTCTTAAAAAGGACATTTGAAAGAGACTAGGGAGTTTCCCACTGAGAAAGTTTCTGAAAGTTGAGTTTTATCTTTATCTATTTCCACCAGTAAAGAATAGAGTGCTATTCTTAAAAGGGAACATATTTTTTGGTTTTGGCCAGATATAGAAATCTTTGTTGCTATATTTGGCTTCCAATGTAGGACTTTCTGCTTGCTGGTGGGAGGAGGAAATTAGAGCTGGTGTTATTCATAACTAAATGGGCATGAAAAACAAACCACGTCTCTTTGAACTGTAGTGCTACTATGGGCATTCACATTACAAATCATTTTTAAAGCCTGCAATACCTCTGTGCACGCAACAGCCAACATCAAAACTTTATTACCCGCTCATTTTCCCCCAGTGATAAACCATTGCAGATGTACAGTTATTGTCAAGGCAAAGACATTGGTGTAGTTCGTGGTGGTGATTGTGCTCTGTTTTGTTTTTAAATATATTTTTTTGTTCATCTTGAAAGAAAGCAAAAGTGATGTTCTGAAAGACAGACGATTACTGGAAGGCTGCAGAATCCAGTCCCCCTCTTCTTCCCAACAACCCCAAAAAGAAATCTAAATTAATTGGCATCCCAGCCCGACACACAGCTCAGCCATGAGGAATTCTCACCAGATGTCTCAGTCCCCACCCGGCCTCCCACGTCACGCAGGCAGCATAACCCTTCAGAGTCTGAGGTCCTGTCTGGGCAACTGGCCCCACCGTGCTGGGGGTTGATGCGGAGGGCTGATGTTAGCCCCAGCACACTTACCTCCCACCACTACACTACCCACCCACACTTACCTCCCCCACTAGTGTGGCAGATGCCAACCTCACTCCTCACATATTCCATGGCATTTCCCTCATGCCAAGCAGGCTGAGCACTGCTGAGGTTATCCGGCGCCCTCCTGGCACCAAGGGAAGCGTTTCCCCACGGCATCAGGCAGGACCCCAGCTGGCAGTCAGTAAAATCCAAAATAAGAATTATCTGGATGGAAGTGATGAGATTTTTGATGGATGTCAGGTCAGTAAATTCAACTGAATGGCACAGATTTACATGAATGGAGGCTGTGGTTCAGCTTGAATATAATCAGTCACAAAACAATTCCTTTTCTGGAGCATCACTGCTTCCCCTCTTGTTTTCTGATGCAGTGAGTACATACAGAAATAACACCTATGAGCATTTGGAAACCAAGGCATGGGGCAAGGCAGCTGGAGCTCTACTCTGGTGAGAACAGTAGATGTTACTAAAGGAGAAAAAGCACATCAGCTCACTCATCCCCCAGTTTAACAGCACTGTTGTTGCCTAGAACACATTCACTTCACTGAGGCTATTTGTGATTGTCCTAAAGCAAAAGGGCTCTCCCAGATCTTTCCTCACAGACTAAACCACAGTGTACACAGCTCACTTCAAAGAAAGAAGTTTCCTGCAATGTTTATTCCAGCTTTTTCTTAACACTTAGTTTGTACCAAATTTCTAAGTCCTCACACTGCTCTGGTATTTTTTGATGGCTGTCATGTTCCTTTCTACTTCTTTCATGTACAAGCCAAGCAGTTGTTAGGCATCATTTGCTTATTTTGCAATGGTCTTTATCCCATCCTCACCTCCATCGTCCATGCAGACTGTTTATCTCCCAGTAGTTTCCAAACACTTTCTCTCCTACAGAAAGTTCTGAATGCAAATTCCCCCTTCCCTGGTCTTCCTTTCCTTACATTTCAAGTTCTTACTCATGGCCCAAGAAAGAAAAGGGCGATTCTGAGCAGAGGCAAAGCACTCTGCTTGCAAAACGCTCTGCTTACTGTCCTGGAAATCAGTCCTGGAGCAAGACATATAGGGAAATTCCTGCTCATCTACTGGTGCTCTGATACTGTATAGCCCATATGGTCAGGATCTTTACAGAATTTTGCAACTAAACTCTTAACAGCTCCCTGCTGATCGCGTGCAAGTGGCAATTTTTCAAAAGCTCTGTGCTTGGCCAAAGTTTGGAGGTTTCCCCTCCCCTGCTGCTGGAACAGTAAATGATATATTTGTGACCAAAATACTAAACCTTCAGCCCACAATTCAGAATGCAGACATGCGAACATCACTCAATTAAACAGTTGTAAAATAATTTTAGCAAGGGCATAGTCTCTTCCTTAATGGGAATTACTGAACTGTCATAAAAAAGAATCAATTTGTGATAAAAAAAACTTTTATGGAAAACTTCTACTTGATGAGCATCAAAACTGCAACAAAATTATAAAACTAAAAATCTGTTACAGCAAGAAGCCTCAAGTCTACCAGGTATACCATCTTACCAGATCTGATTTTAAAATAGCCTCTCATTCAATTTAAAAGGAGAAAAAAAAAAGGAGAAAAAAAAACAAAACAAAACAAAAAAAAAGACATTGCAGCAAATACAACAGACCCTATCTAATGAGAAAGCTAGTGTCTTCATGCAAGAGCCCTTTTAGAAATCCCTTAGATGCTCGCCTTTTTCTCTATCCTATTTCAGGAGAGAATCAGTACTTTAGGACACTTGTTTTAAAATGTTTTCAACAGGAGACAAAGTCTTGGCTGTAGAAATTAATCTCATGAAAAAAAAATAGAAACTCAGGATGCTGTAATTTACAAAGAGATTTATGAGTTCTTCAGTTGCGTAAGAATAAAAATTAAAAAAAAAAAAAAAAAGCATTAGCTAATTGTTGAGAAATACAGACCAAGCTGAAAATACCACATTAAAAATATAACAATAAACTTCACATTAAATTATTTATTCAGTAATTAAAACAGTGACACTTTTCTTTATACAAAGACTCCCACCAGTTTTGATGAGAAGGATGAATGTTCAGTGGAGGTTTTGAGGGTAGCAGGATTAGGAATGAAGGGGAGACCCTGACTTGACTGATGGATTTAAATGATAACTACAAACAGCTAGCAGAGAAAGTGCAGCATAGTTCTGCAGATACTTTACTAGATTACTGTAAACCTCAACTGCTATGAACATTGATTGTATATCGGTGCCAATTACCTGAGCCCACGCTTGCTGGAATCAATGTGGATTCCATTACATGTCCACCATTGTTGGACCAGACCCTGGGCATCCACTCTGTTCCAGCCAACAATGGACTGCAGTTTAGGCATTCACAGCTGGTCCCAATGATCTTAATGCCATCAAAGACTTCAACAGACTTTGAGGAAGAAAGGAGGAGCAGGATTCCTGCCTGCAAAACACCACTGTCAGTGATACACAGCTGATCTATCTTGAAGCCTTGTGCCTTTGTGTGAGTGCATAACAACTGTGATGTTTTAATCACCTCCATCCCTAAACTAAGTTTATTGGGAGCTAAAAACATCTTGCAGTTCAGAGGGAACTCCAAACAAGCTATCACAGGTCCCACCATGGTGTCATGGACACCACAGAAAAAGAACAGCCAGAGGATTATGGGCACTGTGCTAACCAATGGCTGCTAAAACAAAGGTTTCCAGAGATATCTTTAATTCCCTTTGGCAATTAGTTCATCCCGTAAGAGGGTACGAGTGTAAACTTGCAAGTACAGTCTAATTTTAATGTGTTGTGCAGCATCTGCTCAACCATCTACATACGATACTGGAGAAGATCAGTTCTGCTCACAGAACTACCATCTCAACCTTTGTAAGACCTCTCCTGACCTTGCACAGGCAAGAGTCCTTTAGTCTTTAAAGGGTCCTTTTCTGCATCATAGCTGTCAGATTGTGCCCATAGGGCTAATATATAAAAGCAGTCTTTATTTTTAAATACCATCCTGCTTTACATGAGATTTCAGCTCCAATAAACATGCATGAACTTTTTAAAAAATTCACACAAAAACAATATTTATCATCCAAATACCCCTTAAAAGCTCAAAGGCAGATATATTAAAGACAGAAGTCAAGTTTAAAATATATATGTATATATGTAATTTTGAACTGCTTGAAAGAAACATAAGTTGCTGGTCCATTGATACGGAGAAAAATATTGTACCTGAAATGAATTAAAATAATTGTATTCAACAAGATACATTTGTCTACTGAAAGGCAACATATTGTGTCTCTTTGCATAACTCCTTTGACACCATGGTCATCTCTACACACACAACAAATCAGGGCTTTTGAAAGATTAAGTTTTGGGGAAAGGGGTTGTCTTCTCTCTCTCTCTCTCTCTCTTTTTTTTTTTCCTTTCCTTTCTTAATTTTATTTATTTATTTATTTATTAAGTGTGGAAAAATTCCATTCAGTCCTGAGGTTACGGAGAATGCAATAAAATACCTACTGTTTTTTTTTTTTTGTTTTGTTTTTTTACAGTCAGATGAGATTTAGTAATGTCATTCAGTTTATTTCCAAAGAATGCGCATTCAAAGCATGAGGGAGGAATGGAGGGAAGAAGGTACTAGGTATAACAACGTGTGTGTGCATATACATATATATATACATATGTATACAAATATATGCACATACATAAAGAAATGTAGGAGAAGAAGAGCAAGACATACATGATTGATTGGAAGCAGAAAGGGTGGGTGCATGCCAAGGTGAATGATCATAAGCACAGTGGGGAAAATATAATGCTCCCCTCATACAGCCTCTGCTCTCAAGAGGTGTACAACCCGCCTCCCTGAAAGCTGTGATGGGAAGTTAATCCTCAAAAGCATGTTTCAAGGCAGGAGAAACAGAATATTGAGAGAATCTTGACAATCACTGAACACTTCATACTACAAAAGAGGAACCAGAAAAGCTGATGAGCAAATTTGTGTATCTCGTGAGTAGAAGAATCATAAAAAAGTGCATTTTACTGTCATCAAGCATGGATTATCCAGCTCTCCAGAAATAAAATCTGCTGGGTGGTTAGTAGTATTGCATCATCTTTTTAGGATGGAAATGCCCCAGCTGAAACAAAATGGGAATCTGCTTTCCAAAATCTGGTAGTCAGGTTGAACATCCCCTGCCTTCAAGCAAACAAGACACAAAAACTGAGAGCAGATTTCTCAACATTACCAGGAACAAAATAAAATCCTGGATAACTGTAAGGACTTTAATGTTTAGGTTTTCTTGAAATAAAACAATAATTTCCCTATGTTCTCCCAGAAAAAGTGACAGAGTACATCGTGTTTTTATAAGACCTCAGAAAATGAATCATCCGCTTTCTTGGGACAGCATTAGAATCCACCACACACAGAAATGAAACTCCTTTAGTAACACATTAAGACACATAACTTGCCCGTAACCTGATTTTAAGAGTCCTTTATCCTATCTGTGGAAGCATGAGCAGCCTTAGTATTCCCTTTTCTTTCTCACTGCCATCAATGTGCCATAAGTGCAACACTGCAAGCAAGCACTCCTCTCCCCTTTCAAGAGCAGTATTAGCATAGCATCTGCTTCTCATAAGCACATTTCTGTGAGTATAAATGTGCGTGCATAGACGCATGTGTGAGAGAGAAGTAAATCTACTCAATTTAACTTAAAAACTTGTCACAGAGAAGAATATATTTTTCTTCTTTCCAATCCTTCAAATCAGAGAATAGAAGCAGGGCTACTGCTACGTACTCAGGCTTTTACTTTCCACTCAGTTGTTAGTACGGGGACTGTTTGTTACTGCGGAAAAAAAACTGAACCTATGTGTCTTCCAAAGCTGGCCGACTGGTGTGTGAACAGCTACAGACGATAGCAGGTTTTTATTGGCACTTGTCTCCTAAAGCCTGCAGAGTAACACAAGTTCTGTAAGAACATTCACAAGTTCAGCTGGGGAAACGAAGCACATGACAGCAGTCCCTGAGGAAAGTGGCAACAGATTCACCACATATCCATGTCCTCTACCCATTAACTCAACAAAATAGTCAAGAAAGAAATTCCAGTGCAAACTCCTGGCTTGACTGTTCCTGTCCCAATCCTCTTTGACAACTACAGGCAGCAGGAGGAGATCCTTCATCATTCAAACTTGCAAAGAGGAAGGCAATGAAGTGACTGCTCTTCTTAGACGTTAACTAAACTGTTTCAGGAAGTCAAACATATCACATCTCGAAAAGAAATACTGCTTTGCTCTCTTCTGCCCTAAACCCTCCAACTCTGATGTTCAAAGAGCTAAATTACAACTTTCCTCATTGTTTCCCTTGTGAAATTTTGCCTCTGCCTTCCAGCTTTACCAAGACTGGGAGGAAAAAAAAGAAAATACTTGGATTTTTTTTCCTCAGTATCTCTAATACTGTAAGAATTCCTAATTTTAAATTTACGTCAGGAACTCATATTTCCTGAATGATTCTGCCCTGATAAACACATCATGGAGGTTTTTGATACCTTCCTTTCCATGCAGTTTTCCCAATCTGTAACTAATTCATTGACCAACTTAGGAGCCAGCTCAACCAGAACAGCAATGATATACAGAACTCTCCCGAGAGTGAAACTCAATAAAAGGAAGAAATATTGATAGACTATAAAGATAAGAGGTGCAAAAAGGGGGAGAACAGCATTAATTTAGCATCCCAACATAGATACTCTAGCCCTATTATTTTTAAGTAACCTGTAAGAGTAGTCAATTCAGCATTTTAACACTGCCTGAAACCTCAAATCAGTAAGGTACATGTTTAAAGATTTTCTCAAATTGTGATATAATCCTACTGCCCACAATGTCAGCATGTCAAGCCCTCTCTTATGTCAAGGGAGAACTCAACACCTCATAGGATCAAGTTCAAAAGCTTGGAGAGAAAAAGCAGTACAAGGGTAGAAGGCCTGAATTTCAGACTGGCAGGCACATCCCAACATTCCCCCTCCCCTTTCACACACACATCCATGTGGTGTCCACCTGACAAACTTACATTCACAGTACTCACTGAATTAAAATTATACTGTTTCTTATATCAGTCTTATGCTTAGGTCTTGGTTTCCATGTAGATGGTTTGTCTTTTTGACAGGGATGCCTAAAAACAATAGTAACAGAAATACAATAGGTTATGAGAGCCTTGGGAAATGTTACAGAGGGATCCCCAGTGTACTCCTTCACTGAAGGTATACAGAGCAGAAAGGCAACATTTCCAAACAATATCCAGGATTTGGCAACCCTGATCCTGTGCCCAGCTAAGCACGTACTGTCACTCGCTGGAGTTACTAGGACTAGACAATGCCATCACAGGAGTGGGACTATTGAGGGCAACCTTGCAGCCCTTATTCAAGATTGGATCATGTTCTTGGCTTCAACAGAAGTCATTAGAAAGCAAGTCAGACCCAAGACCCAAGGCCAGAAATGTGGCTCCTCTTACATTTTGCAATGTGCTGTGACTAGACATGGCCATGTCACTTCCCAGTTCAGATTTTTACCCTGACAGCGACAAAGCCCAGCTTTTGTGCGTGCTGAGCATGTGCAACTTCTTACAAAATTCAAGAGCAGTAGCTGGAATCAATAACGCCCCCAGAAACCTTGGGTTAGACAACCAGATTTTGAAGTCAACAGCAGCTGAATGTTTCAGCATTTCCCATGAGGTCCTCAGCAGACAGATCAGGCCAGTTGAAAACATTTTGTTTCTGCAAGTCATGCATTTTTATGAAAGTGACATTTCTTTCCTAAACATTCATGTTACAAGTTAAAACCCTCGAAATAGCTTAGCTGAAAGTCTTGCCTCATGAGTTAAAATAACAATATTCTGGTAATTATGATTACGAGAGCCTGAAGTGTAACTCATAGACAACTGCATTCATCAGCCTCCATGGATCACAGATGAGGTCCAAACTCAAGTCTGATTCAAATCCGTGAAAGTATTTGGTCCATTTTGAAAGACTGGATGGGTTGGAAATGCAGTTCCTGCAACCCTATGATCCATGCTAAAGGCATTTGCAAGTTTCTGACAGCACAGCACAAAGCCATCTTTAGAAACAAGAACAAAAACACCCTTACTAGAATCTAACACCAGCAGGAAAAATATTTGGCTGAAACTTTAGGTGCGAATTATACTTGCTTAAACTAGAACAAAAGGACAAAAGCATCAAGATCTAGCAATGTGGAAACAAGGAAGGTTTAGCTCTTTAAAAAGTAGGGAAAGATAGACACTTGAGGTAACAAAACAAAACAAAAACAAAATGCACAAACACATCACAGACATCTAAAAATAGCATTTTATACATTTTTGCCAGTGCTTCTCTGAGAGCAAGTTCTTTAAACAGAACTTAACAATTTTTACAATTTTTTTTTAAAAAATATGCCATCCTAAAATAGCCCATCAATCCTTAACCAAACTTTCTGTATTTCTACAAAAATAGATGCACAAAGAGCTACAAAATAATGTATTCCTGAAAGGAGGCGCACTGCAGTCAGGGGAGTCTTCTTCCCGACATTTGAGACTGTTCATAAAGATATCAAGCTGAACGAAACAAAACACTGTTAAAGGAGCAGAAAGGAGTTAGGTTGCCCAGCTGCAGCAGGCTCAGATGAGGAAAGAAAGAAAAGCGATTTTGTTTTTCTGTTGTTCATTTTCCAACACTGTGGGACCCATAAGTGGCCTTGCAATTAAAAGGCTCAATAGCAAAACGAGAATGGTTGGCTCTTCTTCTTCACTTGTGTCCTTTGCCCCATGCAAAAGAGTCAGTGATGGTTATGTCACCCGCCAAGCTGCACTGACTCCAGCTCTAGCTGGTCTTAAGTTATATCTGGACTTCAAAACCAAGAAGAATCCTTGCTCTTGTCCTGATGCTGTAGACCTGGATTTCAGAACAGAAAAGTAATGCTTAAAATCTGATACATCTTTTTCCTCCCCCTCCCTTCCCCTCCCCAAGCATGCAAAGTGAGGATAAAAAGTTACTGATTTAAAACAAAACAAAACAAAAAATCAAAACAAAACCCACAAAAGTAACTTACCATCCTAGTGGATTTGTTAGTAACACTGCTATTGCTTCCAATTTTATCGTTTATGTGGGATAAGCTTAAACCCCACTTAAGTTTTAGACTGGCTTTAGCAGTTCAGGAATGCTGATAAAATCATGCGTGCTTTTTTGTTTCGGCCTCATTCGAAGAGGAGCAGGGTGTGAGAAAATCCCCCCACAAGGTCTGCGTAGACCATCCGCTACAGAACATCATCATTTTTCCTGATAGGGGCCAGCCACTGACCCCATCTCTTTGCAGAAAGATCTGCAACACTGTAGGATCTCACCATTTCTATGGCATTTCACCTTATGGAGGAGGGAGGGAAAGTATTCATGCAGCAAGTTAAAAAAAAAAAAAAAAACACAAATAATTTCACCTACAGAGTGTCAGATTTTTAGCCAGGAATGGCTAGTGCTTCCACATGGGAAAAATTAATGATTTTCAGCTTGCATTTGTTATGAGTTCTTCTAACATTTTCCTTTATAAAAAGTGAGGACTATCTAATAAATGTGGTGCTATGTTGTGGCTTTAGCATTACGGACTTGGAACCTGTGTTACAATCTGGGATTCCTCTATTCCAGAAGGATTCAATCTTTGCTAGATTTACACCCAACAGGGCAGATACCTAAAATCCAGACCATAGTGGAGGAGGTGAGGATGAAACTTCCCAAAGAAGATATGGTTTTGCTCATTTACAGGGAAAGTGAAAAGGAAAGGTGCAGGCGCTTGTTTTAAGAGGTAGTAACGCACTTATGCCTCACTGATGTAAAACCTGCTCCTTGATGTTTTGTGCCAAGCAAATTAAATTCTCTGAAAGGTGCAATTCCCAATACCGCTGTATCGGCAGTGATTCTCTGTTCTGTATCATGCCATAATTTGGCCTCCTATGCCAAGACCAACACACAAATTACTTGATGTACTATGAATTTAAGGCTAAATCCACCACTAATTTAAATAGGTGCAACTCTCTCAGAATTCACTGGTGTTACAGCCACTGAAATACTTGTTTGGTAACTGGTGAGAACTAAAGAAGAGCTGAGCATAGATCACTCATTTCCTTATCTGATCACATAGCCAAGCCCACTGTGGCTCTCTGCTCCATTTAACATGCACTTACATCTATTTCTTTGGACTGAAAAAACTGAGACACGCCTCCAGTACGGCAAGTCACATTCAGAGACTTTACTGAATGAGGATTATTCCTTTTTGCTTATGAGTTAGGAGTTTTTCTGTTAGTATCACTTACAGACAGAGACATAAGCTGGTGTTAGTTTCCTTCAAAGCTCTCTCAAAGTCAGTGATGAGAATTTTGTTATATTTTTTCCCGTCTATTTAATTTTTCATTTTTAAAGCAAGGAAAAAAAAAAAAAAGAGGGAATCAGCAGAAAATTTTTGGAGTAAGGGAGTCATTTAAGTCCACCAGTCCAACAAAGGCCCCCAGAGACAGAGAAAGCTGAGGAGAAGAGAGAGATTATACGGTTCATACTGGTTTAATAAACAAAACAAAACAAAACAAACAAACAAAAAAACCCACAAATTACACACACGTGTTTAAGAGGACATCTTCCTGACAGTAATGACCAGTAGAAGGGAGATACCAGCTGACCAGGCATGTTCCTAGTTAAATATCTTTGCAGCAAACAGAAACAACTGCAACTGAGAAGTTTAAGGTATAGCCATTAAGTCCAAACAGCCATGGAAAACAATCCAAAGAAATAAAGTTGCCTTAGCTACAGATCTGAATGTGGAACACTTTCCATGTCTTTTCCTCATTATATTCCCATCTTCTTTATGGCAAGACTAACTGCACTTCTAACATGTCATCCAAGTGCAGCCCTACTAGCTAACCAAGAGCTTTAGTTTGCAGCCTGCTGCTAGAACAAATGTTTTCTCCTCCTCAAAGACATCTTAGCTTGTGCTGCATGAGACAGTATTTCCGCACCAGCAGAACTCCCCATCTCTGAGAGGCCAACGCTGCAGCTAACTGCCTGCCACACATGCAGAACACAGGCTGTGTGGGAACATCTGATGAATGGTGACAAACTGGTAGTGTTTGAGCAGAGGCAACTCTGCAGAAGGCAGCAGTTTGATCACTCCAATTCTGTGTTCAACATGACATGCTGGCCTACAGAAGTTTTCAAAGTGGACTTTGCATGGTTAGCCAGGACCAGAGGACACCAGTTAGTTTACCTGTATTTAGGGACAGACGTGCAACTCAATTGGAAAATAGAATTGCAGCTCTCTGATACGCCAAAATCTTGCTCTGCTTTGAGTGTGCTGGGGTTACAGAAAGCTTTGTCTGGCACATCTGTCCAACAGCAGGGCAAGATTTCCTTCTGGCAGGCTCCACAACAGCGGGGCATTGTACTCTCCACAGGGCAGCACAGCTGGATCTGACCTGAAGAGTGTCTGTGCTGGCTGCTCTGCTCCTGAGGGCACACCGGCAAGCACTGATGGCTGTAGGGGCAACAAGGCAGAAATTCTCCCTGGTTTTACATGCCCAACTCAGGCGGCACACCCTTAATATGAACACAAGGATTCTGCAGTCTCCATCTACATGTGCCATGAGCTGCTGTCATGCTGTCAGCATGTTAGAGGCTGAACTTGCTTTGCTTGGCACTGGGAAGACTGAGAATTTAAGGTTTAATCTACAAACAGGTTGTGCTCAGTGATTGATACAAAACTGATCCTTATTTTGAGCATTTCAGCTTTGGAAAGGCACAGTATACCAGAAGCCACAAGCATAACAGGTTGCTGCAGATTTGATTGAGGCTAGTGCTTTCTTTAATTCCACTTGCGCCAACACAGAAGCTCCTAAAAGGGTTAATTTGCAACATACAGCATGAGGATTAAGCCACATTTAATGGGAATCAGGTACTTAAATCCCTACTCATCCCTCTAAAACAGGACATTGTAAATTTGAACAGATGTGCATGACAGATCAATATTATATTAGCCTTGCAAACAGTGAGATGCTGAAGTCCCATACAATCTGTTCTGAAACAAATTCCCAAATGACACCCAGCATGAAAGGGGAACCCTCTTTTAACCTCTGCAGGGATTCAGCATCATCCACTCAGGAGATGGTATATTTGGCTTTGCATGGCAGAAATGCAACAATGTAGCTGGATGAGGGTAAGATTACAGCCAGCTTGCTCTGATCCCAGAGATATCACTCCATTTAATTCAGCATGAAAAGTTTTCCAAATGTTTCTATAATCCCATGTGACAGTAGCATAAGAAATGCGACTCAATGTAAGAGGGGAAGAAAAAAAAAATCATTTGCATATACATATCTGAAGGGCCAAGAAAAGCACCTTCTGTTAGCTTTTTTCAAGTGAGTTTGGTTTTTGGTTTTCTGTTTTTTGATTTTTTCTTTCATATAAATCACCTGAAGCTTATAGAATCCAACACATTGATAGTTCCAGGGACTGATGTCTTTTATTCTCCGGGAGTTGTGGGCAAAGAATTCCAGAACTGAGGTCTTCCTGCCACTGTGACCTTACTTAGGGGAAACCTCTTCCAAGAAGTTTCTTCCAAGCCCTCCAGTTTTCAGACTCTCTGCTGAGGTTACTGACCCTCAGCAAATATATATATATAATGAAATTGTGTGTGATGTGGAGACTTATGCATTAAAAACCCTACCTTGGAGAGGAAAGGGAATAAAAAAAGATCTCTGCCGAGATCCTCTGTTTCTACAAAGCAGTCACACATCAGTTTGCATGCACCAGAAGCATGCACCAGAAACTGACTGTCCATGCTTTCCCCACTGCTCCCACCCTGAATGGACAACTATAAGACATGCAAGCTATTGGTAAGAACTGTCCAATCAGGGTCTTGAGGAAATTAGTATACAGCTGCACCCTTCCACAGGAATCTTCACAAGGAACATGAAGCACCAGGCAAAGGCTATATTAGCCCTGAAAGGCAGTGCTAGGACCCACAGTCTATTTCAAGGTACTGTACTCCTGAAGGAAGATCACCTGGCTTATGAGAAGAACAAAGAAGCAGTAAGCAAGCCAACTTGCCCAGCGCTGGAATAACTCACAGCTTAGGCAAGATTCAGGAAGTGGTTCTTCTTGACTAATAGCTCTTGATACAGTCCCTGCTCCATCCTCCAAAAGGTAAGTCAACTTCCAGAATTCCAAAGCTGGACTGCTGGGGCCACTGTCAGATCAGCTGTCTGGGACCATCTATCAGTGGCAAAAGCAATTTGCTCCTGCTTCAGAAAAAGCAACTTCCATAATGGAATTTGTCAGAACTTTCTATCACAATGTTGTTAGATTACCATCTTATTCTTACAAGCATAAAACACAATACCTCTTGTATCATCTGCATGGCTGGAAATGTTATTAATAAATGTAAAATTGTCTAGTATTAAGAATCTTATCGCTCTTTTTCTTAAACTCTTGAAGGAGCAAGTGACATGGTATTTAGAAGAGGTTACTGGTTCTCAGTTACTATTAAGAGAAGAGTGGTTTTTAGTAGGTTCACTTAGCAATAATTAGGATATGGTTGCTAATACTTCATATTTAAAAAACAGCACTTTTTTCCCACCATCAATTCCTTGTTCTCCTACATGCTAATCAAAGCAAGGAAGCTCTTCTCACACAATGGTCAGCTAGAGCTAACAAGAAGACAGCCTCAAGAAGACAAAAACAGACATCTTAAGAAGTGAGATGCAAATGCAGTATTTCCTTATTAAAGTAATAAAAGTTGTTTAAGTAGTAATCTGTAAGGATATCTGCTGGTCAGATAAGCACCAAGCAGAAAAAGGAGGCCATAACAGTGTACATGAGTGTGGAAGGAGATGCTGGAAATGTATCACCCATCCTCTGACACCAAGTGACTATGAAGAACAGTGAGGGTTGCCAGACTGCTCCTAATACTGAAGTGAGAGCCTTCAAGTCAAAACTTGCCTATGATGCAGCCGATGTAGTTTATGAAGGCAGTCCCATGGACAGGGGTAGAATAAATCTAATTTGGAGATCTCTGCCTAGAACCTACAGGATGAAGTTTAGTGTGATGGTGAGTGCAGCTTAAGCAGCATCTCCGCTCTGTATGACACCTAGATACACAGAGGAAGGAAATGCTGGTCTGTTCCAATTTAGATCAGTAAGATGCAACCCTTGTGTACTGAGGAGTTATTAGTTCAGTCCTCTTTGGAGCTATATTTTGGTGAACAGACACACTAACTAGCTGAATGAGCTGGAAGCTTCAACATGGAATTGCAATTAATTATTTCCCACAAGATTTAAACAAGTAAAAAAAGAGTGTATCACACTACAACTCATTTGGCTCGAGTGGGACCAAGAGTGACCGAGGTCTTTCAGTAAAAGGCAGAGAGCTGGATGTTTCACAGCTTGTCTGCCCTGACAGCAATTTCAGGAAGGATTCCCATCTGGAAATGTATTTGGAGAAGGCTCTGAGAAAAAACCCTACTTCAGCTGCAGGGACTCCACACTGCTTTTCTCAAGTTCTTCCTTCTAAAACAAGCCACAGACACAACTGAACAAACTTACCTGCATCAAACCCAAAACTTGGCACAATGTCCACCGTTCCATGAAAGGCTCCAGCCCATGCTGAGGTAGCGCTGGTGACAGCAGCAGGATCTGTCTTAGTCACGTCACACTGAGGAGCAGGAATCCTGGCTGCACGTACTGAAGGCATCAGCAGAGACCCATAGCGGGGGTCGCGGTGCGAACTGGGATGGTGATGGTGCATGTGTGGATGAGGGTGATGGCGATGCATGTACACGTCATGCATGTGTGCATATGAAGGGCTCACCTGAGATGCTAAAGGATAATGCCAGGATTCAGTTGCAGCAGGGGGAGGAGGAGGTGGAGTCTGATGAAGGCTGTGTCCTGGCCAGCTGCTGGGATCTGGTGTTGGGAAGGTGCCTGGTGCAGTAATGGGGAAATCGGGGTGTACTCCACTTAAGCATGGTGGTGGGGGAGGCTGATAAGAGCTGGTCCAAAATGAAGTTGGGAAACTGCTCCTTTGGCTTGATATTGTTGAGTTTTCTGGAAGAGAGGAAAGAAAATAAGTATGACTGAAGCTGGAAGAACAATTTAATGAAAAAAAAACCCTCAATAATTTTCTACTCTCAAATTTATAACGCTGAACCCAAGCTTACAGAGTAATTACAGAATCACAGGATGGTTGAGGTTGGAGAAAACCTCGTAAGATCATCTAGTCCAATCCTGTTCAAGCAGGGTCACCTAGTGCATATTGTCCAGGATGACATTCCATCAGATTTTGGACAAGAACCAAACTCCACACCCTCTTTAGGCAACATCGTTCAGTGACTGATCACCCTCACAATAAACAAACAAACAAAATGTTTTCCTGTGTTCAGATGGAATTTCCTGTTTTCTAATTCATGCCCTGTTGCATTTTGTCCTGTCAACAAACACTACTGAGAAATGCTTGGCTCCATTATCTTCATTTCCTCACACCAGGTTTTTACACACATATAAGACATCCTTGAGAAGACTTCTCCACACTGATGGGTCATAACTCTCTCAGGGTTCTTGACACAGGAATCAGGAAGAGATAGTATCTCCTGACCAGACCAGAACTTATCATTTAGAAAGGCAGCTGCTGTGATTCTAAATGCTTCTGAGGACAGTGAACCAGCTCACACTGCAGAATGAGACATTTTGCTATTGGAATAATACCAGTTCTCTTCAAATTCATGGCATGCTTTAATGGGCTAGTGATCAACTGAATGCACCTCATGTTATTTTCTTATAGAATACATAACATTGCCTGTTGTCAGGCAAACAACATCACCTATGTAGCTGAAAATAGTCTTTGTTGGAAATAAAAGACTTGCTGCTTCTTACAGCTAGGGCTCAACTTTATTTAAATGGATTCCAATAACTTCACATAATGAAATCACATTCTAAAAATTCCTCTTTTGAAGGTGCGGTTAGTGTTTTTGATGCGTAGGACAGTATTGGCATCTCCACTCACATATCGCTCTTGCCAACTCATGTTTGAAAGCACTGCTTCATGCAATATGTCACAGCTCAAATAGCTTGGGTTGGTTTTGGTGGGTTTTTTTTTGGTCGAAGATGGAAACATAAAAATACAGGACCTCCGATGAAAGAACAAAGTCATAAAAATAGCCAATGAAGAAATAAAGCCAGGGAAACGTAATATTTGACAAGGTGAGGAGTTCTCTATTCCTCGTACAGCATTTACAAAAATGTTTATAATATTTTTCCTAAACGACTTTTTGTTTTGCGTAGTTTAACAAGCAACTGGAATGAGATTTGAGTGAAGACATCATTGAGAATGAACAGATTCTTCAAACACTCCTGCCTCTAAACTTTGCTTACATAAAATATTTTGGAAACAAAAACTGTAAAAGTGTTTTCTCACTGTATCATTGAACACTTATGTATGTATTTTAAAATCCTTTCAAATAACAATTTTTTTTTCCACACATCAATTGGCCAGGATTTAGGGAGTTTATTGAGTCTGATTAACTTCTGGTATTGGAAATACCTTTACAAATGCATTATGGACAATTGTACAGAATTATCTCTGTGCCAAACCCTCTCACAGGCTGCAAGCCTATCTAGCAAACTGCAATATGGCCTTCTTCAGAAGATTGCTTCTTTTTTTAGCATTATATTCCTATTGTGATTCATACTAGAAGACTGAGGAGAGCTTCAAGCATCTAACAGCAGCTTCAGCACCCCTCTGAAACTGGTATTGTTCATCACTTATGAACTGTTCCTTGTTACAAGGGATTAGACTGAGAGACAGAGTGCACAGGGCTTAATGTTGGTAGTAGGGTTGAAAAAAAAAAAAAAAAAGAAAATCAAAAACAAGCTTCTTCATACCCAGTCTGTTATTTTCCTCACTGCTCAACAGGGAAACAGCTTGATAATGTATTGTCAGTATTCTGGAAAATAAATCACTGTCGTGGGGAAGTTTTTGAAAACCATTTGGCTATTATCAGAATGGAAAAGCCCTATATCCAAACCACCCCACTTCAAAAAAGGGCAGAAAACCACAAACTATCTGCACGATAATTCTAATATCAGGAGGGTACACTTTAAAACACTGAATTTACCAATACGAATTCATCCCAGATTGCATATCAGCTTGACTTCACCAACAGATCTAGGCCACAGCAAACACATTTGATCATCCCAATTTGTCAAACTCATGTCCATTTCACAAAGCTGTTGCCAACGTCAGAAACTGTCATGGTGCACCCACCACTGAGACAACCTCTTTGGTCAAGGTGAACTCACATCACTTGGGGTGCAATGCCCATTCACATTATATGAATTTGCAAGGAAATTTCATCCAACCTGAATGCTCACAGAGGATACTACTAAACATTGTGTACATCACCATCAAGAAGAACCATCTCTGTACTGAACCACAACCCACAACTACCATACATTTCCTCTGTGCTTGAAGGTTGTTCTTTCCTCTAAAGTAGTTAGCTCAGACAATTACATTTACAGATGTTACCATGCCAAATGCTTGGGCTCTATGAGACGTGGCAATGGAGATATTTCAGCCCTGTCCTTAAGAAAAAAACCAGAACAAAACAAAACAAAACAAAAAAACCTGAGTAGTTTCCAGAGGCTTTAGAGGGGGAAGAAGGAGGTATATAACCAAAATTGTGTGCCAACAAAGATATTCAGTTACCACTATTTCCTACTCTGAAGTGGAGGGAGGTAGGGAGATGGCAAGATCTCAGATACCACAAAGTGGTGACTAATGCAAATGTTAATAGGGGTTGGCCAACACACAAGGAAAACATGCCAATGCCCACATGCCATAAAGAAGACAATGTATGGAATTTTCTGAAGCGCATTACTTTTCCATTGAGGCAAGAGGGGAAAAATAACAACCCGCAAGAAAACGATAATTCCCCTTCGGATAGGAAAAAGCACGTTGATAAAAATACTATAAAGGTAACATTTATTTAAGTGTAGCCCCCAAGAAAGATTTCAGGTGCATCAGGTATTCAGCATTCATGTTACCTAAGTCTGTAGGAATCTATAATTTGTAGAAGGTCAACCTTGAAGATAATTTTAGCTTAATCTGATCAGTATTTTCTATATAAAATAGACAACTGATTCTCTTTTCTACACACAAGCAAAATTCCTCCTTAAAACAAAAAATGTAATAATACCATATTTAAAATTATAGTTTGCATATCCATCAAGACACTAAAAAAAGCTACAACTTAGATGAAAATTAAGCAGAAAACACTGCTAGTCCTTCCTTTCAGGTAAAGAAATTATAATACAATGAGCTGAATAGACAGCTAATTTCCACACATTTTCCAGTTAAATCTGTACTTTCTAATACAGAAAAATCTTCTTAATTGTTTTTAAATTGATATTTTAATAATTTATTGACAATTCATTCTTTATTAATGATGGTTTCTTATTTATTGACAAAAAGGCTTTCCACAAAGTTTATTCATAAAAGATCTTCAATCCAATGATATTTTAAATTCTTAAGGTAATGGAATGCAAATTCATACGCATTTGCTGTAAATGAGCATCTTCAACTATAGTATATGAACAAAAAGTCTAAAGCATTAGCATCATTCTTTCTCCACTTTTTCAAACAGCCATGTTTCAGAAGCTCACTTCAATAAAGCCCTGGCCAAATCTCTTCTTTGAAGAAGCAAACATGGTGATCTTCCCTAGAGTCTTCAGTGCAGAAGCAAGCAGCCCTGCCTAGCAACCTCCTTGGGTATTTTCACACTGCTTCAGCAGGTGTAACGATAACAAGGGGCATATTTTCTTACTTTATTCTTGTAACACTTTCCAGACACGCAGACCTCCATGCTCCAATGGCATGGGGTATCGTGGCTAAGGAGTCAGCGTGTGTGAAGAACTGCTGTGCCAGATAATCTTGACGCTTGTAGAGACCTCTGTAGAGTCATGTACAACTGAGAGGGTCAGAGCAAAACAGACTATGTCTGAGGCTGAAGAGAAGAACACAACCCCCACCCTGAGATATGTCTCAACATCCAGTAGAGAAGGTCTGTTGTAGGCATGGATCTCTAGTGGCTGCCTTGATCCCACCTCTAAAACACTTACAGTATGTCAGGGTCGTTTATAAATGCTCCAGTCTCCTTTTCAGTAAGCACAGATTCAGTTTTACTCTCAGTCAAGTCAACGGAAAATTTCCCATTAACATTAATGGTCTCGTCTGAAGCCATAAATTCCTCTAGCTCCCTAGCCACTTGTGCTGACCTTTTCTTAAACTTCCTTGGATTTGTCATTATCCTTCTGGAAAGCAAGTTCTTCTGTGCTATTTTTCTCTTCACAGTGGTTTCTAAAAATCCTCTCTTCATTATCTGTGACTTTCATTAATGTACTCTCACCTCAGCATCACTGATTATGAACACCACCACTCCTACAAGGATCCTCCAAGAAACTCTCACTCAGCTTGTTGCAAGGCCATTACTCACTATTCTTTTACAATCCTTTTGACAGTCCACATAAGGAGATCAGAATTAATGATCTTTTGTGTATCTGAAAAACTGCACAAACTGGCACACGCAACACAAGGAAAGCAGTGTCTTGATGGATATCTTTCTCCAGCCACCAACTTTAAAATCTTATCTGTAAGATCTACCTAGCTCATCTGGCAATATCTGTTCAATATTACACTGAAAATGCTTATATTCATTACGAAGCATGAATATTACAGTGCTGTTCAAATGCTTCACAGCATTGACCATGTTTCTACTTCCTGTTAGGAAGTGAAGTACTGTCAGTCTTATTTGATATGCAGGAGATCAGTAGCAAAGGCCATATCTCTCCTACAAGCTCTTCTGAAAGCAGGCTACAGCCACATGAGCCAGAGCTTCATCCAAGCCTTTTCCAGCCTGTGTCGGCTCCTCCCTACCCAGAAAGCAGCCACAGACAAATCCTAATTACCTGGCAAAGTCACCCAAGTATGCTGCATGGGTTTCCTCACTTCCAAGGACAGAATCCCAAACAGCTTGGCTTGCAGGCCAAGTTTCACACCTAGAGCTTAAAAATAAGCCTCAGATCTTGCAGCAGACATTTGTGAAGCCACATCAGCTCATCTGGGCTCCCTCCAGGCCTTTGTGGAACCATGGGCTATGGGAGGAGTGGTAGACTCCTGCTTCTTCCATGCCTTTGGAACCTCTTTCTCCTTTAATGCACCAGATCACTCAATCACAAGCAGCTCCTCATTTCTTTCAGTTTTGGGAGGGAATTTTGAACATGCACAGGGGGGCAAAATTTCAGCTGCAATGTAATATCCATTACTACGATACAGCCCAAGTTCCTGCTCCTCTTACCTCTCCACAAAGGACTTAGCCCTGCCTTGCTCTTGGTAAGGGCGGTTTCTGGGTTGAAGCTACTGGCTTGGCTCAAGGCTCTTGAGAAGTGTTCATCCACTACTGAACCAATGTCTCCCTGGAAGTAGGTGAAAAGGACGCAGCGAGAGTTCAGGTACTCCATCTCAGCTGGCTGATCCTTCTCATCCTCTTCTTGCTTGCTGGGAAGAGTCACTTCCAGAGACTCCTGCATCTTGTTGTATACAGCTAATTTCTTCTGGGATTAAAAACAAAACAAACAAGAGATGTATCACTAAAGGCATTCAGTACAAGCTCAACATCTGTTTTCCTTAAAGAAAAATAACTGAATGCATTGAATACTAATTTCAGTTCACTGCAGTTGGGCCACAGGGATATTCTGCACCAACATTTTACAAAGAAGAGATTACCAGAGGCACTTACTTAGAATCTTAATTCCTCACACACAGATGGACCTGCTTCTCAGACACATTTCACAGCCACAAGCAATTTAACAGCAATGGCTTTCACCCAATACCTTCAAAAGAAAACAGGCAGACTCTAACAATTCACTGCTGACTCCCACCTGGAAGGGTATTCTCATCAGAAAGGGCTGCAGAGGTTGTATCCAGCCCTGCAAACAAGTGGCCAAGTACACAAACTCTGTGTTTCATTCTTCTACTTGAATGTCCACCCAACTTTCCCAACTGCACTCTCCTGAGTGAGAGGACAGAACAGTGGGTGAACTCCATGATCCATTAACAGCCTTCCTCTGCATTTCAGAAATCTACAAAATACATAAATTGTTACTTAAGGCCAGGAAAGTGTGTGGGTTTTTTGGCTGCTTGGATTCTATCATGAAAAAGTAACTCTTCAGGTAGTGAGAATTTTTGGTTGGTAGAGTTTTCTTTTTTAGTTTGTTTGTTTTAACACAAATTTCTGGAGGAAAGGAGAAAAATTCGAGCAATAAAAAATTTAAACATATGATCTGGAGGAAGAGGGGGATTGACAAGTCTGCAAACACATGCAAAAAAAAAATCCCTCCAAACTAAAAACATGGAGAAGCATTTTGAAAAATCAAGCTAGCACAAGCCATCTGTGAATAGCTATTTCAGAATCCTCTCTCTTTCTCTCGAATCAAACCTAAATGTCAAAATAAATGTGTGTGAAGATCCATTTTGCATGGAACATATTTTTCAGATGTTCCACTTTACAACTGTTTTCACAGAAAAAATCTCCCCACAACAGTTGTGCTGCAGGAATCATAGCTTTTAGCCAGCTAGCCATTTCCACAGCTGACTTTACACACAAGCAGCTTCAGGAACCCAAAACAACTACGGCACATATGCAGAAGTATTTCATCACTTTTCTATAGTCTTACAGCTTGACTTATCTTTTATGGTTTGCTTGGCAACAGTTTAGCAGCATCAGAATCCCTTTAACTTTATGGCTTTTTTCTCTTTTTCCAGAGTTGTTCTATAGAGCAAGTTAAACAACTATAAAGTCTATAAAGTTCCAGTTATACAATAAATACATTTGTCAGACCTAGAAATAATTGTAAGTCATTCTCCAATCTTGCATACTATCAATGTATGTACATTCAATGCTTTCTAAAATCACATAAGCTGACAAAAATTATCCCTTTGTAATACAAAATAGAAATTCAGGAGATAATTCTTATTAGTGGTTTAATAACCAAGTGATTATTAAAACCAATTAATTGTAAGTAAGATCTACTTGTAAGTGGAACTAAGCCCTACCATACTACAGGCTCACAGCAATTATGCGATGTATCTCGCATTGTGGTAGATTAACTGGAACACATACAACAGTAATATACTACACTTAAATTCTAATGCTGTTGTAAAAACTGCACTGAGGGATGTAACCAAATTTTTTTTTTCTGGCCTGGAACATCCAGGCAAAGGACCTGGAATTCAAATAAATCTCTATTTCACAAATAAGTAGTACTGTGGCTCTGCTTAGATAAGGACATACAGCTTTATCACAAGATGTTAAAAAACAAAACAAATAAACAGCAATAAACAAAGAACAAAATAATAAAGTTTTACTAGAAACTAATTGCTAAAATGAAAGGTAGCCTGAAGCTATCAGACTCGCATTTATACACATAGAATTTGAAGTGACCTGTACTTTTCTTGGTGTTTTGTGCATCTTCTAACCAACCAAAAAAAAAGTCTAACATTTGCTCCTGCATTGCTCAGATGTTACCCACAGTGACTTTTACGGTTTTGTCTAAAAAATCATCACAGGATGAGACCTCAACAAGACAGAAACAGTTATCACAGTATCATACATACAGGAGAAGCACGCATTAGAAATTGATAACACATCCATCTCAGTGGCTTGAAAATGTTTAAAGGTTCAGTACAACTCAGATCCTCCTAAAAAGTGGTTGGGAAGGAGACTTTTAATTTTTTTATTTTTAACTATTTATTTATTTTAAATAGAGACAAAGTGTGGAAGGGATCCTTTAAAGATATCCAAATAGATACTGATATATTACAACATCTCAGATACAGTATGTCTGCTAGACTCCGAATACACGCAACACACTTCCAAAGTTGGCTTCTATCATTATAGATACGCTATTTGTATCTATACTGCAAGTACACAAATACATACACAAGCACACAATTATATACAGAAACACATCGTTTAATATAGCCCCTGGCTTGACTTGGTTATCAGGAAGGAAGTCTTTCAATGTTCCCATATAGAGACTGGAGCTCAGGAAATTAAAACTTATCTCCAGAGCCGCTTCTCTGTGCAGGAATGTTCCCCTTTCTACAGCCTAAGAATCTAATTCATTTTCCATTTCAACTCTCTTCCCTCCCCTCCAGTCCATGGGTAGTCATTACAAGACATTCCAAATACTAGCTGTTTTTGAAAACACTGAATCTGAGTCCTTTTTTTTTAATGTAAAAAAAGATAGCAGTACTGATGGACAACTATAAGGGGTTGTGTACAGACTAAAGAAATTTACAGTGAAAAGTTATGTTTTGTGGAGAGCTTTTTGCAAAGAATAAGATCTCCTAATTAAAAGATGCTTCAAGACCGAATCAACCCTGTGATCAGATACAGATCTACTTAATTTGTATTTCAGGTTAAAAATATCAGCTAATTTTTTTTTCTTTCCTGTAATTACAGAGATTTAAATTTATAAATAAGAAGCAATAAGAGAGATAAAGCAGATTTTCTTTGTATACAGTGGATATACGCCCTTTATATTGTACACATTCTTTAATAAAAATAATTTTTTTCTCTCCCTAACTCCCTTAGAATTACATCTCTGTGTATGTGTAAATTCTGCATCACTTTTTCTGACCATAACAGTAATCTTTTCTTTGCATTTTCAGCTGCATTTGAATGAGTGGAAAAGCAGGCAAGACCATCAACTGAATTAATTTGTACCATTCTGATGAGAGAAGAAGAAATAAAACCAAAGGAGAAAAAACCCAAACATCACACGTTAGGTTTCTGATAACGAAGCCAGGCTAGTCTGGTTTCCCTTCTATTTCTTTCTTACAAGGAGTTCTGGCATATATCTAAGCAGTCAATAGTACTTGTAAGGTCTTTATAAAGTGTATATGCTGACCAAACACTGCGTCTGCCTTGCCTATGCTCCTATCTGTAATATTTTTATATGCTTATAAATTATACCTCCTTTTTCCTTAAAGGCTAGAGACTGAGGTCAGAAGCCCCTGAAAAAGAAAACAAAACAAACACAGAAAATCTCAAGTTGGCCAAGACACGGAGTATATAATTCAAAGTCAGATTAGCATTCTGGAAAATAGGTAGAGAAATGGGAAATTCAGTGTTTGTAGCATCTGATACCACATTCAATAACAGACACGAGTTTGCGGCTGAGGGATGAATGGTCTCATCTCCAAGTAAATAATACTTACAGCGTAGGCTGCATTCAGCTTAAACCAATATTATTTTACATGTTTTGTATATTCACAAACAGACTTATTCCAAAGAGAATTCAAGCACTTACTGCAAGTGGTCTAACAAATGGAAGCTAAAGGTCCAAAGCTAATCAGCAATATGGAAATATTAAAGAAGAGACTGCTTATGCCAGATAACATCACGCAGCCTTTAGGAGAAAAACGGACCGCTCAGATCTTTCACGCTAAGAAAGCATGTGGATCAAAATCTCCCACAAAATCTCTGTCTTGCTGATTCCCCTTATTTTCTGACATACCCTACTCAGAACCAGGGGAAACTGCTCTCACGCAGAGAAGCCCCAGCCACATGAAAGCCAATGGCAAAAGTCCAATTGACTTCAAGGGTCCCGGATCTCAGCCGGGGTGTCTGGTAAAAATGTCAGAACATTCCTTTTCATAAACTGAAAAAAATAAATTCACTTCCAGCTGAAAGCGGCCAGTGGGCAGCACACCCTAAAAACTACCAAAGCACAGCTGAGACTGGAAAAAGTTTTAGTTAAGCTGAATTTGAACCAAAAATTCAGGCTGGCTCTTATATTACATATAAGCTGGTTGCCTGTTCCTACAACTTATTATCTCCATACATGCCATCGTGCAGCATATGGTCCTTTATGCTCCCAAACATGAAAGTCTGGTGTGCCTGTGGCCACCTGTTACAGATTTTCCATTATGAGAGAAAGAACAGGAACCAAAAATAAAGAACCACTACACTGAGGAAATACTATATGACCCTATCCTGAGAAAAAGGCTGTCATTCGACATGAGCTTCTGAGAAGGAATTTCAGTAACAAACCCTAGGCAAATCACGGGCAGTACTTCATTTGTGGAGCTGCCTGCCAAGCAGGCTCATATTGATAACACAGAAAGTATTCAAGAAGACAATTTCATGTAATCATGGAGTGGAATGCTAAGCCTAAAAGCAGCATTTGATGCGTGCCTTGAAAATAGGAAATGCTAACTATTGCCCTTGCAAACAAGCAAACAGATAGCAAAGCAAAGCTCTTTCTTCCAGGTGAAAGATGGGATTTAGAGCAGCAGAGCCGGAAGACCTCACAATATTCAGCTGATAGACAGAAGCAGTGGAAATAGTCTGAATTTATAATCTATTGGGGTACCTCTGAACAGAACTGTGCATTAAACCCTAGAGTTCCATTTGTATGTATTTATAGGAAGAAGAAATAGAGTTTGATCCAGATCAGAATAACCAGTAAAGCAAGACAAATAGTTGATATTAGCAGGTCCTCTCTCATGGGATTAAAACAGCAAGAACAACAAAATTCTTCCCTGAAAAAAAAAAAAAACCAATCAACCTCTTCCTCCCCTCTGTCCCCCCAGAGGACTTAATCCCAGCTTTACAACCTGTAATTCTGAAAGCAGCCTTTGAAGCCCTTCATTCTGTAGTGAAGTCAGTTGCAGGACACCCATCAGACTTCAGAACAAGCCTTTAGGAAGAAGCTGAGCTACAAAAACGAAACACAAAGCTACTGTCTGCCTTGCTATCTGCTGTATCGGATGCTGTGGACCACGCACACCCAGCATCAATATTATAACTCAGTCTTCAAAGCTGCAAACATGTGATGCAAAGAACTTTTCCGGAAAACTGAAGTACATTGTACAAGCATGGGTTTAGCTACAGCCAGCTGACACAACAGTGAGCATGACTTGTCCCTGTCTGCAGCGATGTTAGTCTGGAAGGAAGAGTTGAGTTAGTGACCTAATTTACAAACAGAGACAAGCCCTTATCTGGAAAAAGTCTGTCTACAACACTGCCAGAAGAAAGTCTGACTTGAGCATATCACAGCTCTTTATGTGAGACTGATGTAGCAAGGATGCTCTTTGGCTTAGTTCTCCACATCTACATACCATGGAGATGTTCCAAAACTACCATTTACTGTAACTTCCCATTTAAAAGGTCGTAAGCTCAACTGTGAGTGAGCTACAGTGAATCCTACCTTAGCCTGAGCTCTGCAGCTAACTGTCCCTAGATGACAGGGTATGGCAAGCTGTCATTGCGTTCCTTGTGCACCAAGAATAAATCAGAATTCTTTGCCAATTAGGTGTTTCCAGACTCTTCGAACAAGCAGCTCTGTTACACCCATTCCTCACCCAAGATATAAGCAATCCGAGGCTTACTACTGCAGTTTCAGAATTGTGAGAGGGGTTTTAATTTCATCATACCAAAGAGCTTTACAGTCTGGCAAGCATGACTCCGTACCACGTACGACAACATGCTCTTATTGTAACACCATCACACATGTACTCTGTATTTTGGCAAAGAAACATAGAAATCCCCTTTTATCTGCAGGAATAGGGTCCCAGCCTATTTTCACTAGTTCTCTGTGGCACCACGTAAGCACCTAAATATACATACTCTCATTTCTCTCCAGAAAACATCCTGGACTTCAGCAGTCTCAAAGATTTAAGGTGCTAAGTCTTCACTCCCATTAACATTCAATAGGAATTCAGGCTTCAGTCCACTGAGCACTTTAAAAGAAAAAGTCTCAACTAAATTAAGTTGCTAGCATGTTCTTTCTCTGCTGCAAAATGGTTAAAGCGGAGGTTCCACAAACTCCACATCACTGTGCAAGGCAAAATCAGATCTGCACTGATTCAGTAGAGTGACAACTACAGAAGAGAAATGTTGGAGTATCTTTGGAGTGTAGTATCTTTTAAGAAGGTGTGATGGAGCATTCTCTAAAGAGAAAAACAAAATAAAATACAATCTGGGCACATATAGATCCATTGTTCAGAGCAACCCAAGATCTGTACATACAAAAAGGAGCTGACGGTTCAAATCCTGCTCAGCACGGAGCAGTGACACAGTGTCAGCTGCTTGACAGAGACATTTCTCCATACCCCCATGTGCAGCATGCAACCTACAGAAAGAGAAGGAGGTGACCTCCAGAGAGGTGCCATGCCCAGAGCTCAAACCTGTCCATCTGCATTGACAGTTCCGCTGCTAAGGAGCTTGCTTTGATCTTCAAAGTGACACGGAAAGCTGCCATCACCCACTGTGTTTGAGACAGATGCATTACAAGGATCTATGAAGATGCATAAGCTTTAATTAGAGCAACACACCTCCAGCTCACTGAAATTAACAGGAGAGTCAAGAAAGACAAATTCCTTCGCTGTCTATGGAAAGACAACAGAGTATATGAGGGCACTGGAAAATGCCCCAATGGAGTCCTTGGATATTTTAAGGGTGAGCTCTGCTCCATCAGCTCCAGTGCAGGGCTTTATTTTTAAAGATGCACCCCTAATACATCTTCCCTCATTGTTATTTTTAAACCAGAGTTTTGATTCCAGCAAAGAAGAACATTCTTTAAAATGGTCATCATCCCTACAAAGAGCGCAGGAGTATCTTACATGTTGAACACATGTGGAAGGAGAAACAAAAACCTGGCAACAGACTCTTCTTCCCTCTTTCTTAGGCTCTTTACCACTTGATTAAATGTTCCTGACAGGATGATTTGGAAGAAACAGAGACTCACAGAATGCCATGCATTATCTAAGCAATTATTCCACCAAGACTACAGAGAGATGTGGAGTCCATCCCATCTTTACTACTTCTTATTTTTTAAAAAGCACTGGATTAAGGGAAAACCCATCGACAGCCCCACACATGGCAGCTGCTGGAGGCAGAGGGCACAGCACTCAGTTCGGCAAGAGCAGCTCGGTTTTCCAGCCTGACACTTAACTGGTTTGTGAAGACCCTCCAGCTCCAAATGTTCCAGCAAAATTGGCACAAGCAGGATTAACTAAAACAAACTGTCAATAACGCATGGGACAGCGAGTTCTAGAATGCTTTTTGATGGAAACGGGATACATTGTACTGGCCATGGCTCGTAAGCTGCACTGGCTCAACAGAGCTGTGTTTCTTGCCTTGCATATCTACCTCCACATTTCATAAATAACACAAGCCACAGGAACTCAGTTTATTTAAAATGAAATTTCAAGAAACTTTGGCTTTCGTTACGGTGCCTCTGGGATGTTTCAGATGTGGTACTGCTTACAGCTGATGGAGAAACTTCTTGATTCTGTTTAAAAATAAAGAGCAACCGCACGGGAGTGCGATGCAGCCGCTAATGGGTGCTGAAGAGATTTTCATCTATGAAGTGCTGCAAAAGCTGGAAGCGAAACACAGCCAAGCGCCTGCAGAGCCAAGTGCCAAAAAGTCCACCCAGGCCTGAAGTTCCAATCACACTTTTCTACTTCTAGGTCCCTTAATCAAGGAGTCTAATCATTTGAGGTTATTTATTTTCCCTCTAAGTTGAGCAGGCTACTAACAGGAGCTCCGGATACTCAAAGTTCACAGCTAAAAACCACTGAACAAGGTGAGGGTTCTGCAAGCTGCGACCTAGATTAGAGAAGAAATAATAACACAGGCATGCAGGAACAGACTAAACTCGTAAGCTTTCCAGAGCCCATGTTTACAGAGAATAACATGAGCAACCTGGCAAAGTCCACTTTGGTGCCACACTACAAAATCTCTTCCTCCCAACGATAAAGAAAAAACAATAACAAATGATTGGAATTTTAATGGTTTAGCCCATATTTGTGTCTCCCAGGCAAGTTGATATTAGGGGTCACTTCCCATGTACGGAGAAAACAATCTTCATGGATAATAATGATAAAACCTTATGGAATGCAGCAACAACCAAAAAATGTATTCTCAGATGACTACATTAGGGCCAAGTCAATATTAGTCCCACTTCACCCACGCACTGCATAGTCTAAAAATGCTGTCAGCCTGATAAGAATTTCCTGATTCACTTTTTTTTCCTCTTTTTTTTTTTCTTTATTCTTTTTCCCTTCCTAATACATCCGATCACCAAATTCAGCTGCAACCCTCTGCAGCGATCCCGCAGCAGAGCCGAGCGGTGCGCCGGGAGCGGCGCGGTCCCATGCCCGTGACGGCCGCACGTTCAGCTCAGTGCGCGGATGCGGAGCGCACAGCGGAGACGGAGGTGAGAAGCAACTTTCTCCCCTCGCCGAACAAGCCAGCCCCGCTCCCCAAATATACGACTGGGGATGGCTTTCAGATTGATTTCAAAGTCTTACCAGGGTCCGCTGCTCTGGGGCACCCTCACGAGCAACCCGCATCTCCAAAGCGCGCCGGGGGCTGCACGGCGCATCGGGCGGAGGTCTCCGCCCCGGGCAGGCAGCGATGCGCCGTGCAGTCCGCCAAGGGGGAGTGGGGGGGGGGGGGCCGCCGAGACACCCCCATCGCCCTCCCCGACGCATCCCCGCGCCTCACCTGCGGGCAGCCCCTCGCGGGCGGGCCCACGTAGCGGGGCACGCCGCACGCCGCCGTGCCGGGCTGCTGCATGGCCACGTCCGAGCAGCTCATGGCCGCGGTCGCGGTCGCCCCGCGCCGCCACCGCCTTCTTCCCCCTCCTCCTCTTCTTCCTCCTCCTCCGCGCGAGGCGGCCGCGGCGGGGCCCCGCGCAGCGCCGACTGCCAGCGCATCTTCGGCGGCCGCCGCGCCCCGCGCCCGCACTTATAGCGCGGCGGCGGCTGCGGCGCGGGACGCCCGGCGGAGGTGGCGGCGGAGCGGCCGCGGGGGCGGGGGGGAGGAGGCCGCGCCCCCAGCCCCCCCCTCCCGCCCCGCGGGCGCGCAGAGCGGCCGGAGGCACCTGCGGTTGTCCCCCAGCGGAGCGGTTGTAATTGCCGCGTGTGCGCGGGCAACTGGCTAACAGCTGCATCACCGTTGGCACCTTATTTATTATCGGTAACTTTTCCTTCGGGTGCGGGGACAGGACAGCACCCCCGGATGAGAGTTACCTGCATGGTCCGCCTCTGCTTCCTATGCTATTGGTAGCACAGCCGCGGAATTCATCCAGGAAAAAGGAGGAAGGATCCTGTCCTGTAGAACCTGGCAAAGGCAGTGTGTTTTCAGCTCCCTGAAGAATCTCTTCCCACCTTTGGTCTACCAATTTTTTTCAATTTTATTTTATATATATGCTCCCTGTTCATTGCAGGGGAGTTGGTCTAGATGACCCTTAATGGTCCCTTCCAACGCAAGCAATTCTACAATTACATATTTTAATCAATTAATTGTACTGCAATTCAACTTGAAAACCACACAGAAACTCTGAATCGGAGTAGGGCCAGAACTGATAGAACCAAACCTAATCACGGCCTACCTCTGCATGTGCATTTTTGCCCGTGAGCTGCTCCACTGCAGTGCCTCTATTGAAAGCTTTCAATCCCATTCCTCACATGGAAATGAGTCAGTGTCTGAATTGGCAGCATTACCCCAGGTTATAAGTCTGGGCACCACTGAACTTGTTTGCTCTTGTTTTCTTCCCTTTAAATTGAATTATTTCAAATTTATTTTTCATTAATAATAATAATGAATTGCTTTGAAGTTTACCTATACTTAATAGTGTCCAAAGCCCCAAAAATTCTAAATGTGTACCCTCTCTCTATCTCTCTCTCTGTAGATACACACACACAGACATGTGTCTCCTTTGCCAGAACAGTGAGATGAATGCACAAGGTTAAAATAGCTCTGTCTGACCCTGGTAGGATTCCCTGTTTATAGAAAGCATTTCTCTAAAACATTCAGCTGCAATATTTTGAAAAGAGATCTAATTTCCTGCAGGTACATTGAATTTTTATTTTTTTATTTTTTTATTTTTTAAATTTTATAGTTTGGGGTATACAGGTCTTAAGCTAGGTATGTACTCCTTTAATAGAGCTCTGATAATGTGTCCCTGATAGCAGTTGCATTTTTTGTATCTGCCTTTGTCTACCTATGCAGCCAGGAAGAAGTTCAAATACACAGCTGACATGCAAACAATGCACACTTTGCTATGCCACATATATGGTCTTCTGAATGGTTTATTTGAGGAAAACCCAGTGCTAACTGTTATCCATCCAGGGTAAACCTGGGCAATGTGGCTCTCTGAAACACCCTTCTCTCACTTTCTACAGCCCCAACAGTAAGGTTGGCAGTGCTGAATGCAACGGCCCCACTGTGCCACATAGAATCATAGAATCATTGAATATCCTGAGCTGTAACAGACCCACGGGATTACTGAGTCCAACTCCAGGCTCCACAAAAGACCGAGATCATTGCCCTGACACTTTTTGAACTCCAGCACTTGAGGCTGTGCCCACTGCCCTGGGCAACCTGTTCCATGCCCACTGCACTCTGGTGCAGACCCTTTCCTAACTCCCAGCCGCCCCTCCCCTGACACAACTCCATGCTCTTCCCTCAGGTTCTGTTGCTAGACAACAGGGAGAGATCACCCCTGGGGCTCCTGCACCCGCTCTGGCTCCCCATCCCCCTGTAGTTGGTACAGATCAACAGAAGCCTGGAATACTGTGAGTAGAAGAAAGCTCTTCTCATACTCATGTATCTTTCTGCGGAGAAAATCCATTTAAACCAGCACTAAGCCAAAACAGAATTACCGTCCATTTACTACACCAACACCATGTGTTGAGGTGGGAGTGCACTGGACATCACTTTACACCTCAAGTGTATGAAGGGATTGCAAGAGGCTTGTAGATGTGCTGACATGCAAAGCGTTGTTTCCCATAGGATGCTGAAACATTCAGGTATTCAACTAGTGCACATTCCTCATTACTTTAGATCCTGCAGCAATTCCTATTCGATGCCTTCAGGCACGGTATGGCAGTACGATACATCCCATCAGAAAGCAGAGCAATGCCACTGCTCAGCAGATGTTTGACACGGAGTACCATGCCAGCCAGCAGCACCACACCATACCAGAAATGATTTTGACACAACACAGTGTCAGTGCCGCAGAGCAAAACTAGCGTGTTCCAAAAATAGGGACAAATTCACCTCTGGCACAAGTAGAAGTAACTGCAGTGACTTCATTAGATTTGCATCTGCTTATGTCAACAATGAATCTGGCCCGTAATCTGGAATTTACATAGAAGAGCGGTAAGTGACTGTGTTTTCAGAGATCTTATACAACGTTTTGCTCCAGCACTCAGCATCATGAGGCGGCTGGGGTAAAGCCACCACCTCTCTCAGCAGTTTCCTTTCCACCCCACAAGAAGCAGCATCAAGTTTCCATTTTTAGCAGTGTAACAGTGCCCCAGAGTATACAGTGTCACTTTAGAGGCATGGGCAGTTCCGAATTTGGAGATTTCTCAAGGAGTAAGAACACTAAGTAAATAAATAAATAAAATAATGGAATAGAAGAGGGTCTCTGCTTTCCACTTCCACACTGTTTCACAATGTTCACTTTAAGCATTAGGGACCCAGGAACTGAGGCAAACCATAAAATTTCAATGAGGGACGGTGCAATAGTAAAATAAAGATATGAAATAAGGAACTTGGCTGAAATGTTGCAGTGTCAGATCTGATGAGATATGGAGGCTTTCCAAAAAGAAACTGTAATGTACTGGTGCTCCCTTTCACCACCTGGGAGCAGAAAACACAGCATAGTGGTGCAAACGCATGACACCGACAAAGGGAGAGAAGGGAGCAGACCAGGCTGATATGAGATATTCACAGCGGAGCAACACGCGTGGTCCTTGCTTTAATCTGTCACTTTAATAGGGAACATTAGTTGAAATACAAGCCATTCAGTTGAGTGTATTCATCTTTGCTGTGTATTCGAGTTGCTTAAACCCATCAGGCTGCGTTACTAGATGAACTCCAGCAGTGCTAAGTGCTAACAAAGACCAGAAAATCCTGATGGAAAACCAGGTGAGCACAGCAACCAGACACAGCTTGGTACATCAGATCTATGGCCAATAGCACTGAGGAAGCTCGGTTTGCCTGCTACATTCTATTTCTGGCAGAGAGGAACTGTGCTGAGACATGGTGACCTGCTGCACAGGTGCGTTGAGAACCCATGTGTTTGGCTGTTTCGAGCTGACCTTTTCCCATTGGTGCTCACTGCTTCCACAGATCAGGAAGTTCACACAGACGCTCGAGCAAATGCTGGAGAACTGTTGCAAGCATTTCAAACCTTCTGAACAACAGCAACAAAAAAGCAAGGATCCTCCTCTCCCTTTTCACCACGACACCGTCACTTCCAAATATTTCCTTGAGGAGAGAACTCTGTACGTTTTGCAGTTCTGCAGAGATTAAAGCAAGCAAACAAACGCGTCCTCTCCCTCATTTCCCCCCTGCCTCACTTCACCCTCTGCTGGCATCCTTTAAGTATTTAAACCATTGCGAACCGCACCCAGCTAGCTGTGGCTAGCAGCTACGAGCAGAGCCCTTTGGCTTTGATATTGTGGTCCGCTCAACGGCCAAAAATGCAGAGTGTTACATTTTCCTAAAAGGAGAGACCAAATCTGAAGATATGCACTGAATTCCCAGGAAATAAACACCAGGCATTATCCATGCCTTATATGTAAAGGAATGGAAAGGGTGAAAAATATGTTTGCTTGCAAGAAGCTGGGAATTCTCTCGTAAGATGACAAATAAAAATAATTGATTCTGACAAAATAGAATTTTTGTGGAGAAAGCTCAACTTTTACAAACATCCTCTAATGCAAGCTAGGTTTCTGGTAGAGTTTGCCACACAGATTTCTGATGGTTTCACACCCATCCGCACACACTAGGGAGTTATCTTTGACCTAAGGACTCGAGGGCTCCTAGGGATATCCCTGTGAAGCTGCAGTGCCATCATCACGGTGACCTCACCTCCAGCTGAAGGTGTGAGTCCCAGAAGTGCAGGAGGCACTGGAGAGTTCCACAACCACAGGGCTAAGCACGAGCTCTCCCTACACCCCAGGGAATACCTAACTTCTGGGCAGGCAAGCAACCCATTCCACTTCTGAAACAAACTGAATGGAAACACACTGAAATTATCCTAAACAGAGAGAGAGAGAAGAGAAGGATGTGAATTATTTCCTTCTTCCTGGACAAAGTTTCTCTCTATATATACTTACAGTGCCCCAGTTGGAAACAATAAGGAAATTCAAGGGCTGAGCGTTTGGGAGAAAAAGAAGTGTTCCATTCATTCAATGCCATTTTCATTTATAAAGCACCTTGTGAGTACAGGAAACAGGCTTAATGTTTCCTTTATAAATATAGCAATTACACACCACCATCAAGGTTTTGACCCCTCTGGAATGGAGGCAGCAGCTCGTGTGTGGCAAGCATGCTGCCCTGAGATTTCACATCACTCAATTCAAAGAGCAATGAAATGCAGCAAACAACTGACCAAAGATATGATCATCAGATGCGCAGCAACATTTCTGTGTTTTGTGAGGATCTGGACACCTCTCCAGTCATATCCTTCATATTCTGTAATAAAAAGAAAGCTGCAAAGCCAATTACACCAAATGTCTATCTTTAAGCCAGTAACAGCTTTCACATCTCATGCCTGTAATCTTCAACAAATAGATCAAGGACTGTTATTCATTTTAATGCCTAAATGCATTATATTATTCTTGTTATAATATTTTCTGTTACCACAGAAAATGTTTGGCTCCCAAAGAAAAAGAGGGAATTGTGTCAAAAGCTCAAATTCTTCCCTGAAACATGACCGTTTTTAACGGCTTTAATGAAAGATATGCACTGGAATCCCAGGGCACAATCTGGCACTAAAATCCACTATCTATATTGGAATTCTTTTACCACGTCTTTTTCATAGTGCATTATTAAACATGTTTCCTTCTCAGCAATTGAGTTTTGGGGCCCTGTTGTTATATAAGGGAAGCACAAAGCAGCTGGGGAAGAACTGTAAAGGAGAAGAGAACAGAAATTTTCTGATGCAGGACAAAGCCTTTCTATCCCAGCATTCTCACAGAGCACACGGGGATCCTCCCTGTAGCTGTTGCAGTAGCAGCAGTTGGTCCAAGTCAGGGCTGCTCTGTGTCGCTCCCAGCCTGAAGGTTGCTTTGCCCCCCTCCCCCGGCTGTGGATGGGGCACAGACACTCTTCTCAGTCTCGTGGTACAACTCTGGGGCTGTGGCAGCAGTGGTGAATTTGGAGCAATTCTGGATGAAGCCCAATGGTGCCTAATGTCCGCAAAGCTTTGGGGAACAGGATTTTATTGTTCTGTGAGCTGAAGACAGGCAACCTGTTCATGAACACCGACACTTGGCTCTGAGATGCATCCTGTTGTCTTCAGTGCAACTACATACAGCATACAATGGTCCTCCAGTCATTGGTACACCTGTAACTGCTGAACAGTATGGATACAAACACTTTCTGATGAACACTATACAGAGTTCTTGTCAGTTTTACACAACTGGGGGCAAGCTGGCATTTGGCCTGGCCTGGCAGGAAGCCCATAGTGAACCGTTAGCTCAGCAGCACATTTAGAATCAAATCTGGACCAATAAACTGAATCTGCAGCAGAGCACATCATCAGCTAACTTCAAAGGTTTTGATATAGTCCAACAAGCCCAAAGGTTCAATCAAGGCTCTAGATGACTCTTCAGCCATAACTGCTATCAGAAGAAACCTTCTCATCTTCCTCACTTGCCTTTGCTTCCTCTCAACACAGATAAGCGTGCATATCAGGTTAATAGAACAGGAATACTGACCCAAGCTAGGAGTAACACAGTAAACTTATTATTTAACTAGGATTAATCATTGGTATGAATAAAATAACCTTAAAATCTGACTTTCTCACATCCAAATTATGCCTAGATTTTCTACAGCCATCTTTGCTGGCATAGCTGGAGCTACCACCTTCCCCCATTCTGCATTTTGATATCACAATCTGCAGGAGAATGGGAATGATACTATGTACCTGTTTCATCCTCAGGCTTCTGTCAGTATTGTACAGTTTTCTCACCAAATTTTGCAGATCCATTTCCCAAAGTAGGCTGCTTTAGGTAACTCCTTACGAAATAGAGTAATTGTAGTACTGCATGTAGTTGTGTTGCATTCATTTTACTACTTCCTCCTTTTCTTCTGTTCAATATAAGTGGTTTCTACAACAGTTCAGCATGAACTAGTCCTTAAGATTCACTGGATGTGATTAATGACTACAGCAATACTTGATGAATGCCTCTGTTTGCAGAAACAGGGAAACACAAATCCTTTCTTTAGCTTAAATGACAGAAAGTGTTTACTACAAGAGATGCTGCAATGTTTTTAATATCAAGCATCACTTCCCAACCCTAAACATGTAAGTGGAAAGTAGTTTACTGCTATGCATGCAATTTCTTAAACACCTACAACAATTTAACAGTTGCTTGGGTTTCTTTGTTTTGGTTTTTACTTCTTTCACAGAGTGCATATTAGAGTAATATAATTTGCTCCTATTCCAGATTACCATAATAATAAAAACTATCGTCATTTTCTAGTTTCTTTTCTTATTGCTCTTATGACTTCATTATCATAGTCTTTTCATTAGCTTTCCTTCACCCATCATAAGAATGTGTGTACATGGTGAAGGAAATGGCTAAAAACAGTTCTAGATTATTACTAGCCTCTTAGTGAATAAAATGCAGATATTAACACTTAAGAAGCTGTTCTCAGTTGTCTATAGCATCATTTTCCCCTCACAAAACTGAATAGTCTTTATGAGAAGGAAAGCATGTATTCAAATCTTAGTGCTTTTATATAAAATTATTTTTACACATTAATATGTACAGCATATTAACTCTCTAATTTCTACAGTGGCTATTTAAGCTATCTCTACTATTTCTTTTACAGTTGGAGATACAGAGACTATCAGCTTAAAACAGCTCAAAATCATGGGCTTAAGTCATGCCTCTTTTTGGTGTCCTGTAGGGAGCAACATTCATTGCATGACTGTTCCCTGTTTCATAGGCATCTCCATCCTACAGAATATGACTGCCCCAATGAAAAATGGAGGTCTTAAAGCAAACAAAATCATCCTGAAACTGCCTGGAGAAAGCCATTTAAGGAAGTATATTGCTTTCAGTGATGATTCTTCACTTCATAATGGGCCAGAGGATAAGGAAAAATAGAGCAGAATGGTTTCCACTTGGTCTCAAGCTAAAGCAAGCTACAAAATAGGGACAGTATTCCAAAATCAGGAATGAGAGACCTGCAGCTTAAGCTGTGTACCCCATCCTATTCCCACAATGGGATTTTCACACCTTATGCCTGAACACGTATGTGGATTATCTCTACCATCTAGAAGAAATTCTCTCTTAAAAGTACATATCACACATGAATAGAATAGTTCAGCTGGAATGACAGTCAAACTGTCTGACCTCTTTCTGGCTAATTAAAAGTTAAAGCACATTAATAATGGCATTGTCTAATACCTCTTGAATACTGACTGGCATGGAGCATCAACCACCTTGCTAGGAAACCTATTCCAGGGTTTGATCACCCTCAGGGTAATGAAATTTTTCCTAATGCCCAGTCCAACCCTCTCTTGGCAGCTCTCTACTGTCTCCATTCCGCTATCCAGGAGCAGAGCCTGGCATCTCCCTCTCTTTCCCCTCCTCAGAGAGCTTCAGGGAGCAGTGAGGTCACCTCTAGGTCTTCTCTTCTCCAGGTGGGACAGCCCGGGTTTTCTAAGCCTCTGCCCTCAACATGTGCCTTCCAGCCCTGTTACCAGCTTTGGTACCTCCTCTGGGCACTTTTGAGTACCTTAATGTCTTTTTTTATAATGTGGTGCCCAGAACTGCACATAATATTACAGGTAAGGCTGCAACAGTGTCAAATACAGCTGGAGAATCACCACTTTTGACCAGATGGTTATGCTGTGTTTAATGCACCTCAAAATTCTGGT